GCCCTCTGCTGAGCTCTAGGCCTGCATGTCTAGCTTTGGAGAAGCCCATGAGCACCTCAAACCCAATAGGCTCAACTCCAAATCCTTCACCGTCCACTACAAACCTAGTTGCCTGTCTTGCTGCAGGGACACACATTGTACCAGAAATTGGTGCACCATCCCAGAGTCCCTCTTCCCAGTCACCTTCCCCAGCACTGTTAGTGACAGAGGCCTCCTTAGCACCTCTTATTCGCCATTCTCACCACCACGGACTGAATTCCGTCCGCATTCTCCGTGGGTCACTACATCAGGTTTCTTACTATTTTCTTCCTGCTTCAAGTTTTGACCCCTTTCAACTCATCCTTCGCTGAACTTCCCCACTGTCTTTCCAAAATGTAAATCTTATCACATCTGGCCACAGCCCAAAGTCCCCTAGTGAAACTTCATATCTCAGAAGGTGGTGAAGTTCAAGTTTCTTGGCGTGAATGGCTCTTGTTTATCTCTGTGGTCTCAACTCTCCCCGTCTCCAACAGGCCCCGCTTGTCCCTGTGTCACACACTGTGGATCTTCCCACTCCTCAGGCTTTTCAAGCCTCTCGCCCTTTGCATGTGTGCTTCCTACCCTTGAACATTCCCCTCCCTGCTTTGCCTTCCTCTCCTCCTGATCCCTCAGAATCTAATTGCCACCTCTTTGGGGAGCCTTATGAAGTCACTCTACAATCTAGGGGTTCCTCTGTGTTCAAACATTACCCTGTGCATAGAGCTCTCTTAGAGTATGTATAACAATACAATCTTTGACCCCACTGTGTGTCTCTCTTTTTTTCTCTGCAAATCTAACTTTGCGCTTGCTGCACCTATTGTAGCACATCTGGCACAGAGATCTTCAAAATATACTGAATTAAAGTTTGAACTAAGAGCATATGTCACCTTCTTTCAACCTCACAAACTGTGAAGTGGTTATTGTTAGTACAGAGCCTATTCGCTTCTCTTACTTTATGGACAAAACACTTTCAAATGGTTGCTAGAAAAGCAAGCACTATTAAATAGCAAACTTGAAAAGGATTATATCTTTGATATAGTAGTTTCACCTCTAAGAATCTATCCTAAATAAATAATCAGAGGCAGGAAAATTTTATTCACTAAGATGTTCATCACCAAGTGATTTATGTAGAAAAAAAAAACTGAAAAAAATAGAGAAATGATTAAACATCCAGAATTATGGTATGTACAATGGACATTATACTGCCATTACAGATTATGTTTTCCAAAGACTTTTTAATGGTTTGGGACAATGCTTATGTTGTGCTTAATAAAAAAGCATGATAGAAAACTAGCAAATATTATAAAATCTTAAATTATATAAAGAAAAATACTCTTTAGAATAAGCACGAAAAAAGACTCAAAAGAAACATATGGAAATGAACTCTTCAGTAATTATATCTTGGGTGACTTTGTTTTGTTTCATTCATTATCATTTTTGGTATTTCCTAAATTTTCTATAATAAGCATTTTACTTTTACAATCAGAGATATATAAAAACAATTTAAGTTAAGATTCAGGCTGTGTGAGACTTTTGTTCTATTTGCGTAGCATCATTCCTCCTCCTTCCAGTGACAGGACCTCAGTTTTGGAGGACACATGCCTCTCCATTGAGAATGGCCTCATGATGTGGACAAAGTAGACCCCAATCTAGGCTCCAGGGGTGGGTATGTGGCTCAGACTTGACCAATCATCATATTGCATCTGGCTTCAGTAACTGGTTCTAGATGGGCATGTGACTTAAGCCAAGTCAGTATTTTTATAGATTTTCAGGAAGGCAGAAAAGCTTTGCTTACATTGGTACTAATGAGCTGTAAGCCTAGAGCTACCTGAGTGTAAACAAGTATGGGAAGCAACAGGAAAGTACAGAGATGGAGGAAAATGCATGTGTGTGTACACACACACACACACACAGACACACCCTTCAAGGCCTGATGACTTTGAGTTCTTGACTCTAGGACAGTCTGGAACACCATCATCCTTAGACTTTCCAGTTATAAGAGCCAATACATTTTAGGTTTCTGGTTTGTTTGCTTAAGTCAGTTTGAGCTGGGTTTCTACAAGTTGCACTCAAGAATTAATATAATTATGAAAATAAAAAATAAAGGGTATAATTCATGAAAGGGTTTAGGGCTATCACAAAACAGAGTATAGAACTGGTCCCATACACCCTACCTGATATATAAAACATTTCCATTATTGCAAATGTTTCTGCTGGACATGATCTAAAATATTTCATTCCCATAGCAGTTTACTCATAGTGCCTTCTAGATGCCTCCTTTTAGTACATAGTAGCAGGGAATATTATTAAAAATAGCTAATAACCCTAAAGGCATAGGGACTGGAGGCTCTCTGCTGTGCCTGGTATTAAAATTTATGGATCGGAGGAGATTTGGGGTATCTCAAGAAAGGGGTTAGAGTGAGGGGGCACTTAGGTATTTAGAGGAGCGGCATTTTTCCAATCAGTACACAAGGATTTTAATATTCTACCAACCAATATGGCCAACTTGGTGTGTACTGGCTGCACTTGAGTCCTGTTAGCAGATATAGTTTCTTTTTTGGGTATCTATCTCCCACCACCACCCTGGACCATGAATCCCCCTAGGGAGGGACTTTGTCTTATGATCGTTGTAGGTCTTTTGCCTACCTAGGTGCTCAATAGATGTTTGTTGAATAGTGAATATGAAAGACAGTCCAGCATTGTATAATTCCCTATTCTGTTTTTTTTTCCTGACAGTTTCCTGCCTGGAATTAAATTGCAATATGGTCTATTTTCACCCACTTTTCTGAAAAGACTTGTTATCCTCTCCAGTATCAGTTGATTGTAGAAGAAAATTGTAAATTTTCTCTCTCAGGCATATTGTTGATATTTTAACTCATAGTGAATTTTTTTTTTCTCTCACTACAAAATGGATTTTAGAAATAAATCAAGATCCCAGAAACTTATGATTGCTTTGAGTGGTAGCTTTTATCTCTGTCATCCTAACAGATATGGTCCAATGGCCCAGAACACAGAGAACTTTGAATTTCAGTTCTCCCACAGATATATGACTTGAACCATTTGCTAGGACATTGGGGAAGGGTTCCCACACTTGACAGTAAGGACTGTGGTAGGGCCTACATATATTAACAATGGTACTTCCAGTGCCTAATGCCTCCTTGTTCACAGTAGAAACTGATATTCTTATTGAATGAATAAGTAAATTTAAATAGAAGCAATCATACATATTGATTGAGTAGTGATAATTTTTAAGCGATTAGCTTTAAAAATCATTTTTCTTAAACCAACTTAGGTCCTAGCAACCTCAAACAGGAGAGTTTTCAATATTAATAAAGTGGGGGGTTAGTTATAATTTTTCGATGTTACTTTAGAGAAGAGTGTAGGCATATCTAAGTTATTTGTTTTTTCTGATGGCACCTCCCATTTATTTTCCATTTTTAAGCTCTCTGCAGGGGTGTTTTACTCGTTTATTAGAATGCATTGGGCCTCCCCTCTATTAGCTATGGGGCCACTTTTGGAACTAAAATAATAAATGTATCTGCTCTACTTCCTTCACAAAGCTGTTATTATGAGCATGAAATTATATTCAGAATAAGAAGGAACTATAAAACCCTATACAGATACTGTTGTCACCTTGAGTAAAACACTTCCAGGGAATGGAACCTGACTTACGAGAATCATTTTACTATCGTTTTGCTCCTGGTACAGGCCAGGGCAGCTAAGAGGAACCTGGGATCCCCACCCCTCTAACCGCCTAATAGAAAGGCAAAGGACTGTTCGGGGAAGGAGAGGGGGGTGGGAGGGGGAAAGGCGCCCAGAGGGCTTAGCAATGACTTTGGGGAAAATGGGTTTAAAAACTCAGTTTCCCAGAGCAAACTTCACAAGGCACTCCTCCCTGCTCCAAAGCCCTTCTCCAAAAAAGTCTCAGGAGGAGCTTATTGGGCGGAGGCCACTCAGATCAATAGAAACCAACTGCGCGCGTACAGGTTAAGGAGCAGGTGGAGAAGCTGAGCATGAAGAATCACCTAAGCTCCAGCTCAGCCTTTTACCACAGTGCCAGGTGTCACTCTTGGTCCCCTTGGACTAACAGGCATGGAGAAAATCGGGGCCCAATCCCCCCTCCCCCCAACCCAGTCGGTCCCCGCACCACCTCCTGCACCTGAGCAGCAAACCACCTCCTCACGGGAGCACGCTGGAGGCCGGGCGGCGGCCTTCATTGTCTGGGGAGCACCTGCCAGGTGGCGGGCCCGCGTCCGAGCCCGGAGCCCCGCTTCACAAAGCGAGCCGGCAGCACCACCCCCGTCCGGGCGCCGCCTCGGGCGGCCCGACCGCAGCTCGGGGGAGGCGAGG